TAAAATTAACCCCATCAAGGCATACAATTTGTAAAAGTAGACAACCCACAGTATTAAAGTGATGTGTGTCCAGTCTTTTTTGGTAGTTCAGACAGTCCCCCAGCTGGCAGCTCCTAGAGTCCTATTGCGGCGATGTTATCATGGTGATCACATGTAGGGCCTGGGTGGCCAAAGCTGCTGCAGGGGGACTGCTGGGGTTTCCGGCAGTCCCCCCCGAATGTGATCGCTGCGTTTCGCAGGTCCAGGTAAGTTCATGGCTCCTATTTGCCATGGACATACTAGGTACATGTGCGGTCCTTAACGACCGTTGTTTGTTGGACGTACCCAGTACGTCCACGGTCATTAAGGAGATATACAAAGAATGAAATTATATATACATATACCTAAGTGTATTTTGATATAAATATATATATATATATATATATCAATATCAACATACAGTTAGAATAAAATTACACATATATATATATATATATATATATATATATATATATATATATATATATATATAATTTTTTTAAAACAATTTAATTATTTTTACAGTTTTTTATTTATTTTTAATTAATTATTATTTCATTTTTATAATAATAATATACAAAATATATAGTTGTTATATATAATATATATATGTGTGTAATTTTACTCTAAGTGTATGTTTATATTAATATATGTATATATTAATAAAAAAAATACACTTAGTATGACATATATACGATATATATACATATTATATATAGATATAATATATGTATATACATCTCATATATTCATTTATATTTGTTAATTTATTAACTTTATTAAAATTTTGTAACCTTTTTTTACTTTTCCACCAGCAGGGTAACTGCCTGTCAGTTCAAGCAGTCCCCCTGCTGGCAGCACTGTGGACACCTATTGTGGCCTTGTGCCCTGGGGGTCCTAAGCCCAGACAGTCCCCCTCAGAAGAAGACCAATCTCCGGTGGGGGAATGGTGGCGATTGGTAAGTACATGGGGAGACAGAGGGAGGGTAGAAGGTTATTTTTTTTTTTTTTTAAACCTCGAGGCACTCAGCACAGGCAGAGCATCGGAAGCCTGCCTGAAGGCTTCTGATGCTCTGCACTACACTGCCGGGCACCATGTGCAGCAACCCGGAAGTGATCGCTCTGGGTGGAACGGCAGTGAGGAGGGGTATTGCACGATGCCTCAATATTGAGGTATCGTGTAATACCCTTAGAGTGGCTGGAAGCAAACACAATTGCTTGCAGCGCTCATTTTGACCTCAGACGTACAGGGTACATCAGCTGTCATTAACGACCGTTGTTTGGTTGACATACCCTGTACGTCCTTGGTCACTAAGGGGTAAAAGATACCAAATTAGAGAGCTATCTACTAAACACAATAGCTCCCTAATTTGGTACTCTTAATTATGGCAATCCCATGTAAGGATACCAAATTAGGGATCAGATGAAAAATCTAAATTTAAAACAAAAAGCCCTTTTATTAATTTTGGTATTTTATTTGCTAAATAGACAAGTCCCTAATTATCTATCCTCATGAAAACAAATAGATGGAATTTTTTTTAGTTCAGTTTGTTTTAAATTCATTCACTTTACATTTATTTTGTTGTGTGGTGATTTGGAAAGTCAGATGCTTCCACATTGCTGAATTCATCCAAATTCATCCAAAATTCGATTCAGAAATAAACTAATGCACATATCTAAGACACAAATACATCATTGTTTATTGCTTTTTATATCTATGTATTATATTAAGAAAACCATGTCTCCCGTTTCATGTTATTTTATTGCATTCTTTTATTAGGGTATTTATAGATTTGTTTGTTTGTTTTTGGTGTTTAGTGTGTTTTGGAGCATGTTGTAGTGTCATTGAACCCTGATAAATTACCTGATCTTTTCGTGGTATAATTAGTTTCCTATTTGTCCCCATCAACCAATGCCATTTAGCATAATAAGGTAAAACCCCTATCGGGAGGACACTGTCTAACTTAATAGAAGATATAGGGACTTGAATTACAATTTTTTTGTAAATGTAATTGATTTTTTACATGTTCCATTTTTTGACTTATTTAGGTATAATAACTTTTAAGAAGAGCAGCTATGGTCAATGTTAAAATTGGGATTTCTTTTTAAATAACAAACTAAGAAACTTTACATATGTTTGAATTGGTTTTATGTGAATTTCTAATTATTTCCTGATGTCTTTTTATATATGACCTGATCGCTTCTACATCATTTGGAATGTGTGTAGCTACATGTGTCTCTCTTTGAAAGATCTTGCTTGATTGATCCTTGCTATTGTTATGTATTGTTAGATACAGTATACTACTTATGTTGTTACTGTTCCATTGTGATCTTCTGGAACTTAAAGTGCAAGAATTGGTTTAATTAGTATGCTTCGCAGTCAACCGAATCTTTTCTCCCTTCCACTCCATTTTTACACATGTCTTTCGAGGATTCCCAGTTGTAATTGTATCTGTAGTATGATTTGGTATTTAAATCAATGTAGGTGGGCCTTATCATGTTTGTGCCTGTATTTAACCTGTTTTAATATGCTAATAGATAAAACACACAGTGTCTCTTTTTGCTGCAATCCCCCTTGCACATTGGGTCCATTTCTGATTTTATTCTAAAGAATGGCGTTGTTTTTGTTTTTTTATCCACCTGATTGAGTTTTGCATTATTATCCCGTGTTTAGGACCCAGTGAGGATAATATGTCAATTATCCCTTTCAATCTGAAAACACATTTTAAAACTCATTGTACAGCGCTACTAAATTTGCTGGCGCTATATAATTAATAAAATAATAATAATAATAATAATTGTGCTTGTTCACACAGTCCAATGATTTATCTTTAAAACCAGTATCGAAAACAGGTCGCTGGAGCCGTCTAGTGGCAGAGATTAGAATTAACTCCGGCAGCAGCATGTATATTGAAGTGTGTACACTATTACTTTTGTAGATGAGTCCCAGGTAGTGGCAGTTGAAGCCTGATCCTTTGGTATTGCTAATCGTGCGTTTTTTACTGTGCATCTGGCAAAAAAAAAAAAATGCATTGTTTTGTTCGTTTATAATACTTTAGTTATATTTTAAGGTTTTTAGAATGCGTGTAAATCTTTTGGTATAATATTTTTATGTAAATATGTGTGGTCTGAGTATGAAACCTCAGGGTCATAGCGAATTTATTTAGGATATTTTACTTTTTTTTGCTAGCTCATATTTATTGGCACTTCCTGGACGTTATGCTTGTAAATGCTTTCATATGTCATGAAGAAACTTGTGATAGGGAAACAACTACTCTAAAAGGGTTTTGACTGTAATTCCTGGCCTAGGTGGGACATCCTCATCCTCAACTATTCAGAAGAGGCTGCAAAAACAACAAAACTGGTTCAAACCCTAGGTAGCAGCCCGTATGCCGGAAAAGCGGCCATCTTGTAGATGTGCACACTGCAGCAAACTTAAGGAATCACATCGGACAGGATTATTCTGAAAAACATGCAATGTAGGGCTTTGCATAACAAAAACAAAGAACTGCTTTGTAGATTTTCATAAGAAACTTTGAAACTGAATTTTTTGCAAACCAATGAAACCACTTGCAGTATATAACAATATTAAAAACATTTCGTTTTCCAAATCACATTAATGTTTTTAATGTCTTTAGATATAGATTTTTAAGGGAAAAACATTTTTTATTTTCCATTTTTCTTTTCATGGGTCTGAAAGGCTTATTAAGTCTCCCTATTCTGTTATTGCTTGTATGTAACAACCTTCTTTGCAGCCTCACTCCATGTTTGTTTGATGTAACCTGTCCGATTATTCGCCCATATCTTTGGGTTCTGACCTGGACTCTCATTTCCCGGCTACACTTACGGATCATTCTTTTATCTTAGTTCTTTCTTGGCTTTTGACCTTCAATCCCATTTCCTGACTACATATACGGATGTCCCTTTCATCGAATATTCATAGCTGATTTGTGACCTTGGCTCTCATCTCCTGTTGTTGAAAGTGCCTTATTTAAGTTTATTTTTGATTGAGCAAGCTCAATTTGCAAACTCAAATTTCATAGTCTATGCCAAATATGACTAAACAAAGGCTTTTCATTTACTACTCAAGTCATAGTGTCCTTATATCATTGCTAAAAACAACAAACACCGTTAGCACCAGGAAATGTGATATATATCTAGAAATTTCACCAACTCAGCAAATTTTTAGCCCAGTTTGTTATTTTTTTTAAATGTCAAATATTTTTTACTACCTATGAAGTTTCATGTAAGAAATGTGGTATCCAGCAGTAGAATCAAATGCCTGTAGCCATGTCATATACATGAATCTGTGTATCTATTTCTGTGTGGTATATATGTCTGTCTGTCTGTTTGTCTGTTTATCGTATAGATGTTTGATCACATATTTGAATCCATACAGTGGCAAAACTAACATAGAGAGGGTCCTGGTGCAAGACTTTTTTTGGGCCCCTGAAGACACTTGCTCATTGGGTCACAAGATGAGAGGTATCTCACCTGGAGCTCCAGCACTTACACATACTGATCCATACACACACACACACACACACACATACACACTCACAGATTGACCCCCTCACACACACACTGACCCACACATACAGACTGACCCACACACAGAGATAGGCTCATACACAGACTGACCCACACACAGACCGACCTACCCACACACACAGATTGACTCATACACACAGACTGACCCATACACACTGACCCCCCACCACACAGACTAATGTACACACACAGATTGACCTGTACACCCACACTGACCCCACCCCATAAACACACACAGATTGACCCACACACACTGACCCCACACACCGGCTGACTCATATACACACACAGATTGACCCACACACACTGACCTCCACCCACACTTCACCTCACACACACTGACCATACAGACACACACAGACTGACTCATACAGAGCACACATATACATATAGTTACAACTTAGGAGGGCATTCTGCTATTTATTGAATAACTCATTGTTTTTAGATAGGTTTTTTTTTTGTGCATTGGGTCAGATATCAAGCATGCAGGCTTATTTTACACTATGTCATGACAGATCAAAATAAGGTTGTTTTTTTTATGAAATAGATTCAATTCTTTATTATTGAGTGTGTGGTATCATTGGCAAGCTTTTGTATTTTATATTTACATACAATCTTTTGTGGATCATATTTTTTTTTTTTGCGTGTATGTATGGAACAAAAGCAGAATTTTTAGTAAACCAAATATACAAAAAAAATAAGACACCTGAACTAGAAACAAGGTTATGTATTAATACAAATATATATATAAAACTCTATAGTGAATATATCTATAAATACATCTATTTATGGAAAATGGCAAAATGTTACCCACTGCATATGGTCATTTAGAGAATAAGAGCTCACAGTAATTTTTTTTCACAAATAGCGTACGAGTCTGTAAACGTGCAAGGCATATCATTCCATTCTCCAGTCGTGTGTAACAGGGCACAGTCTTCATTTTTACCATAATCATTAGGCTCTCCTTTCTTCCAGAATCTGCAAATTGAGGACAGACAAACAATTATCACACTACCGTATTTAGAAGAAAAAGTGTGAAGATATACAGTATTTCTTTATAATAGTATATTAGTAAACAAAACCGTTAGTCATTTTAATACTACTCAAATGACGTTATGCAGCAATTATATCTCTCTCTTCAGCAGACCTTCTCTCCAATAAAGCCAAAATTATAGCTTTTGTCCCCCACATTAGTTGAGACTGAATGTTGGGGGTAGAAATACCTTTATTGCACACAACACAGCTCTTTATAAGGAGAAGTGTGGATTCCCTCTGCAGGGGTCCTCCATACAATGTGATGTACAGTAGAATAGTCCCTCCCCTGTGCCAAAATTGTCTGGGGACATAATTAAGTTAGCCTCAGCTAAAACAATAGGATAGCTAGTCACCGCGCACTCTCACTGTCAAAATAGCACCATAATCAGAGAATCTGCGCCCGAGCTACAGCATGTTAAAGTGGTGGCTATTCTCTGATCGGACAAGGAATTCCACGCATGTGGTGATTGTGGCAAACCGTGTATTATTTTCCTCCCTTCTGTTCATTAAGGAGCTATTTCACTACTCGTGGCTCTGTGTTTTCCCCATTCATACTAAACAACCGAGAGCACCTCCTCCCTGGCAGGCATTTGATTCCAGAGAGCCACGAGGTCCCGAGTGGGGCCTGGTAGTAATCGCATGGAACTACTTCACGTTTCTCTGCCAACTTTTACCTTGGTATTACCCCACTTCCTGACCTGCCAGGAAAGCACTCTTTGGAGGGGAGGTACTAAGGACAGAAAGGAACAATCGCCCCCTGAGAGCCAGGAGAAGCCTCCCTTTGTTTGTCTACAGAAGCTCCCTTCATTGACCGGACAAAGAGATTCTCACTCTGGAACTAAGTTCGTTATGAATTTTGTTACCGGCCGGTAAAATCTTTACCCTGGTGGAAATCAGTCTATTCTCCATGGATCCGGGCACTCAGATCAGAGTTATCCAGAGATATATGATGTGTTGGGGTTCCTGCTTGTTTTTGTGTGTTTTGGGGGTTATTTTAAGTTGTGTCCTCTGTATCCGGGATATAATTAGCTTAAGCGAGGGCTAACTCAATTATCTCCCAGACACAGTGGCACCAGGGCAAGCTTACCCTGGTTTGAATAGGGACCTCATGTCGGGGGTCTGTGTATAAAAGACTGTGCTTTCCTATTAAGAAACAGTTATAGTACCAATCTGGTGAACAGTTCCAGAGTGATTCATGGTATCTCCCCGTCAGGCGCTCTGTGCATAGGATGAGTCCATCCAATTCCCAGAGGTTCTCAATGCTGGCTAGGAAGCAGAATAAGCATCCAGCACCCCCATACCACTCCTCACAGTAACAATAGCCCCTTTAAAAGTCAGGAGACTGGCCTGTAATCCTTTCCAAGAAACATAGAAACATAGAATGTGACGGCAGGTAAGAACCATTCGGCCCATCTAGTCTGCCCAGTTTTCTAAATACTTTCATTAGTCTCTGGCCTTATCTTATAGTTAGGATAGCCTTATGCCTATCCCACGCATGCTTAAACTCCTTTACTGTGTTAACCTCTACCACTTCAGCTGGAAGGCTATTCCACGCATCCACTACCTTCTCAGTAAAGTAATACTTCCTGATATTATTTTTAAACCTTTGTCCCTCTAATTTAAGACTATTTCCTCTTGTTGTGGTAGTTTTTCTTCTTTTAAATATAGTCTCCTCCTTTACTGTGTTGATTCCCTTTATGTATTTAAATGTTTCTATCATATCCCCCCTGTCTCGTCTTTCCTCCAAGCTATATATGTTAAGATCCTTTAACCTTTCCTGGTAAGTTTTATCCCGCAATCCATGAACCAGTTTAGTAGCCCTTCTCTGAACTCTCTGAAGAGCCAGTGCCAGGAGCATCGGAGTTTCCATCACAATCTTTATTGACAGCTGAAGAGTTAACTATGTGGGACACTGAGGTTTATTTACTATAGTGAGATTGAATTTTAAATTTAAGGTCAAAGTAGCTGAACTGGAAACATTATCTATGCCTCTGCCCATCCCATGTGTTCCCTATTAAGGGTTAATAAGTATATAGGGGTGTATATATAAAAATACCCCTTTCTGTCTCATTAGAGATATCTTTGCCAGAAGCTCAAGGAAGCAGGCTGAAGGGTCAGTGTAGAACCCGCTTTAGGGGAGTCTGCCTTGACGTTGGCAGGCGGGCATTCCCTCCAATGGCCATTGGAGTAATTAAATGACCTCCATTTGTTTAAATATACATAGGGATTAAGGAGAGAGCACAGGTAACTTTTTCTTTTCTTTTTACTGTATGTATTGGAGCTGATGTGGACTGTGGTCGTTGCTGCCACCCAGGAGTGATGGGAGTGAGCGCAGGACTTTTTTTTGTATTAATAATAAATATAGCCCAAACTTTCTTCTAATGACCTTGATCCCTATGGACTTTGGTTCTTCCTCACTGGGTATGTGAGAAAAGCAAAAGAGAAAAAAAAAGCTACTGATAGTGTAGTATTTATCACAGTGACTGAATAACAAACAGCAAAGTGTGAAAGTGCTCACTCATGTGATATAGAGCTTTCATACAATCTCTAGTAATTACAGTGTGTCGTGGTATAATCTCCACTGGTATATATAAGTGTGGATATGGTAACTGTAGTGATTCACATTGAAGAATATGTAATGACAATATAAAATGCAATAGTGTAATATTTCAGATATAAAGTGCCAACTAAATGCACTCACAAGTCAAAAGAGTTTTATTAAAACTCAAAATTCCATTATTATTTATTCTATTTTTATTCTATTTTTATATTTTATTAATGTTTATATGGCACAACCTATTTTTGTAACACTTGTCTATTTTGTGGAGTATTGAAAGTATTTGCTGTCTGCAGCTGACCTCCTTAAGAACTCTTAGCGCTTGTCCGACCTTTGTAAATTTGCTCAGTATTGCCCAGGCACCCTTTTTATAAGCAAAAATTTTACCTCCAAGTAAATGGGGCATTTGTGACATTTACTTTCAATTATAGCACACTTACAGTGGTTAGATAACATGAATCTTTTAGCCCATTTCCAGTGATTTTATGGGTGCAGGGAGCCATGACTTTATTACTCTACAGACACAGTATATCTAGGGGAGATCATTGTGCTAAGTGTCACA